TTATTATTAGTAGTAGTAGTAGTAGTAGTAGTAGTAGTAGTAGTAGTAGTAGTTAGTAGTAGTAGTAGTAGTAGTAGTAGTAGTAGTAGTAGTAGTAGTAGTAGTAGTAGTAGTAGTAGTAGTAGTAGTAGTAACAGTAGTGGTGGTGATAGTGGTAGTAGTGGTAGTCGTAGTAGTAGGAGTAGTAGTCGTCGTCATCACTACCCTACTCCGCCTCCTTCCCTCCCTCCTTAGGAGTAATAGTAGTTGTAATCGTGCCAGTGATACTGAGAGACATGTTACAAGTATGAATAATCGTAGCAGTACTTATGCCTCCTCGTGTCATTCTGAACGAGGCAAAGGAGGAGGACAAGGAGGAGGAGGAGGAGGAGGAGGAGGAGGAGGAGGGAGGAGGAGAAGGAGGTTTGGGGGCCAGTCCCGTTCACCGACGAGCGAAAAAGGGGCAATCAAAACCAAAGACCCTCAGCGGTTACTGTCGATCAATGCCCCTCCCTATTCTCGCCGATCAGCTCCCACTGGCGCCCATCAGGGTCTATCAGCGCCTATTTGCGCCTACTTGCGACCCCCTGCTGCGGGGAAGACAACAACCCGCGGCTAGAATGATTCTCCCGCGTCGCACACCTAAGACCAGGCCGTGGACACGTCCGAGCCTCTGGCCTCGGAATAGCTCGGCGTCGTGTAGCTCGGGGTGGTCGCCGCGCCCCGCGCAGACCCCCCGGGCGCCCAGCCGCGGAGGGTCGGGGCGGCCTGGAGGCGCGGTGGCCGGGGCGCGCCTGCGCTGGCGGACATTCCGTACGCGTCCTCAGCCAGCCTCGATCTTTGTCCCTATCCGTACGATTGGTACGCCCTTTATGGGCCCCGGAAACGGCAAGGCCGTTTTTTCACCGTTTCCAAAAAACAAATGTCCCTTGAAAATGAAAACGGCAAAAAAACGGCGACAGGAAACAGCAAAAAAACGGCTCCAGGATTGGAACCGGAGCCGGAACCGGTCAAAACACGGCGACGGAACTGGTAAAAAGACGGCGTCGCAACCGGCAAACAAACGGCAAAACGGAACCGGAAAAAAACGGCCCTGTCGTTTCCAGGGCCCACTAAGGGTACGCCCACATGCGATGACAATCTTAGGGGTGCGCCCTGATCGGGGAGACGTACGACTCAGGTCGGGGGGACTAGGGGTTGACCTGCCCGGGCCGTGAAGGAAATGACGAGGCCCAGGCTGAGATTCGACGCCAGCTCCCGCTGCAGACATCCCACGAAAACTGGACCGTCAATAACTCCAGGACGGGCCCGCCCAAGAGCGCTGGCAAATCCCGCGCTCTGGCGCACTCGAGTCTTACGCTTCCTCGACCTCAGGAACTCAGGGAACCCCCAAAGATCGACATCGAGATCCGGTGACGACAAGTGAGCGTTTTTTTATTCGGCGTTTCGACTCTGGGCGGAAGGGGGTGGGGGTGGATCTGTCTCCGGACCTCTGCTTAGAGCAGCTGTTTGGGACCGTGCGGCCTCTGGGGGAGACTCCACCCGCTCGAAACAGGCGCCAAAAACAGCCAAGATCCATCCCATGGGGGGGAGGGGGGTGGGGCGAGGGCCCGCGCCGATCGGCAAAACAACGAATAACAGAAACGATCACCAATCCTGGAGATAAGGGACCTGTTTCGGACTGGCAGATCCTCGCCGTCGTCGCTGGCATGCGCGTAATCCGCCGACCCCCCCCCAGAGGGCGACATGGCGAGCGAGGGCCAGGTACGCTGTTTGAGCAGGGCCCGACCGTCTCCTGGCATTCCTGTAGGCTACCACGAAATGTTCTTAGAACCCTATCTTCCAATATTCCTAAAGGCATTCTTATATTCCTATACGCCAACCTTTGTTCGAATAACAGAAGCTAGGTTCTTAGAGCAGAAAGCCGATGTGATAAAACAAGACCGTCTCAGCCAGAAATGTTCTGAGAGCATTTCGCGCAGACCATAAAAAAGATGATTGGAACCCTCTTTGGTGGGGAGCCAGGACGCTTCGCCACTGCTTGAATGATCGGGGAAGTTCTGACCCGAGTCAATCCAGACCCAGGTCAGTCAGGCCTTGCAGAATCCTGCAGATCCTGCACCCAAGCCCAGGTCAACGCGAAGGATCCTGCAGGATCCTGCACCCGAGCTCAGGCCAATGCGACCCTGGCACTGCAGGACCCTGCAAGATCGGGCGCTCTGGCTGACCCCCGTTTGCATTGACCCCCGTCTCAAGGCCCCCGACCAGACACCTCGACCCGTTCACCGGGACCGGCTTTTCGCCCCGAGTCGATGGACGCCTCCACGGCCCAGGCCGCCGAGGCCGTCTAAAGCCACGGCCCAGGCCGCTTGCAGAGCATCGGTTTCGTCGTCGTCACCCAAATCGAAATCGTCGTCGTGGTCGTGGTCGTCGTCGTCGTGGTCGTCGTCGTCGTCGTGGCCGTGGCTGGCCTCCGTTTGCTTTGACCCCCGTCTCAAGGCCCCCGAACACCGTGCAATTCGTCCACGCCGGGCAGCCTCGCCCGGCTCCCTGGGGCCCTCGCGAAGGCCCTCACAGGTCGACCCCCGGCGCGAGAGCTGCCACGGCAGGCGGGGGCCCAGGGCTCCGGCCGTGCTGCTTCACAGGGATCGACCTTACCAGTGCTGTTCGTTTTCGCTATTCCCAACCATGCTGTGGTGTTGGGTCCTCGGTTTGGCAAGACAGCGCCCCGCGTCTCCTCCTTCCTCCTGTCCCTCCTCCTCCCCCTTTTCCTCCCATCCCGTGCCTGTGCGCTCCGCATGTCCTCATGACCGTCATCGTCATCATCATCATCATCATCATCATCATCATCATCGTCATCATCATCGTCATCATCATCAGCATCATCAGCATCACCATCATCATCCTCATCCTCATCCTCATCAGCATCATCATCATCGTCATCATCGTCATCATCGTCATCGTCATCGCCGTCATCATCACCACCATCGCCACACCCAGTACAATATTTCGTGGCCCCAAAGGGAGCTCCACCGAAGATCCCAGTGGCGCAGTTCGCATGCCTCCCCCACCCAGTACAGCGTTTCGTGGCCCCAAAGGGAGCTCCACCGAAGGTCCCCGTGGCGCAGCCCGCACGCGTCTCCCTCATCCAGTACAGCGCTTCGCGGCCCCATAGGGAGCTCCACCGATAGGGAGCTCCACCGAAGATCCCAGTGGCGCAGTTCGCATGCGTCTCCCCCACCCAGTACACCGCTTCGTGGCCCCATACGGAGCCCTACCGAGAGTCTCAGCGGCGTTTCCCACAATGAGAACATCGTGCCCCATCACTAGGGAGCTCCACCGAAGGTCCCAGTGGCGCAATTCGCATGCGCCTCCCCCACTCCATATAACGTTTCGTGGCCCCGTAAGGATCACCACATGAGCTCCCAGTGGCGCAGTTCGCATGCCTCCCCCACCCAGTACAGCACTTCGTGGTAGCATGGGGAGCCCCACCGAAGGTCCCACTGGCGCAGCCCGCACGCGTCTCCCTCACCCAGTGCAGCGTTTCGTTACCCCATGGGGAGCTTCACCGAAGGTCCCAGGGCCGTCATTACCTGGGAGCTGGATCCCGAAGGCAGCGGGGGTCGCACCCTGCACGCCGACATCGCCTTCGACTCGTCCTACTCTGCACCGCGGAACTGGACTCAGAGGCTGGCCTCCGAGCCGCGCATCCCGAAGCCGGACGGCTTCCATTTCGCGAGTGCGGAATCGAAAATGGAGACGCACTACCTCATGGAGTCGATGCAGTCCGACCAGTGCACCTGCGGGACCCTGACGGGCCCAACGACACGAAGGGGCTGCGCTACCTCCGCGCGCACGAGCACCTGTGCGCGGCGCCGGAGGGCGAGCCGGAGTGGCCAGCGCAGCCGGCGGGGGAGGGCGTTTGGGTCCCGTTCCAGCGCGGCTGGGAGTCGCTCGCCACCGCCGAGGAGCAACTGGCGAGGACTGCCCGGGCGAAGTGCCTCAGGAATGACGTCGGGTCGCGGGCGACCCCCAGCATCTGGAACACGGAGGAGGTCGAGTCCGCGCTGCGCGAGAAGCGCAGCGACCGTCGCGAGGACGCGCAGCCTCCTTGCCAGTGCACCCAGTATAGGAGCTGGGCAACTGGCTGGACAGCATGCTGACGACGCAGGAGCACCTAGCCCTGGAGACCACGAAGACCGCGGCCAACATCGACGGCATCTCCAAGGCGAAGGCTGCGAAGCCGAAGAGGCCGCAGAAGGGCGACGCGCAGGTCGCGGAGGCCCCCGCGCTCTGGGAGGGCGCCGAGGACTCGGGGGCGGGCGCCGCGCGGGCGGGGGCCCAGGGCACCCGCGCTCAGGACGGCTTCGCGAAGCTGGGCGCCAACGCAGTCCTGGAGCATCACTTCGACCCCGAGACGCTCGGGCAGCTCTTGCGCTTCGACACCGCCGAGCGCGCGCAGGCCTTCGTCGAGGAGCTCAGGAAGGCCGCCGCAACGACGGAGGACAGCGCGCTGCCCGGGCCGACTGACGCCGACGCGTCGCGGCGCGCAGCCCGCGCCCTGAAGGATGACGCCCTCGCTCCTTTCAGGGCCCTGCGCGGCCTCGACGCAGACGAGCTGAAAGACTTGGTGGAGACCCAACGGAGAAGGTTCGCCGAAAGGGGGCGCGAAGGACGCGGGCGCGCCCGCGGGCGACGCCCCCGCGCTGGGCGACGTCGAGGCAGCGGGCGCTGCCGCGACGCCGCCGAGGCAGCGAAGGCGCGGCGGGGGCCGTCGGGCGAGTTGCAGCGGCCCAGCGACCTCGGCAAGCCCAAGCACGCAGAGCGGAAGACGCTCCAGTTCCTGCTCCTTGGCCAGGGCGGCAGCGGGAAGACCGCCATGGTGGAGGAGATCGCGCTGCCCGCCGCGGACGCGCTGACCCCTGTGGAACCAGGCAAGGCGAAGTCCGCGCTGATAGTCTGCGCGAAGTGGTATCAGACCGCGAACATCTCCACGGGCGCTCACGCGGCCGCCAGTTGCCACCGGGTGGGAGTCATAGGACCACAGCCCTTCAGGAACAAGGACATAACCGCGGGGGGCAGACTGAAAGCGCTGCAGGACACGCGGGCGGCGGCCCAGCGCTTGATCCTGGAGGAGGTGAGCATGATCTCGCTCAACCAGCACAACGCGCTGGCGCTCCGGCCCTACCCGGGGCGCAAGGCCGAGCGGGGCGCGGAGGAGCAGGAGTGCGACCAAGTCGGCGGCGCCTTCGGCCGGACGCCCATCGTGATCCACCTCGGGGGCTTCCTGCAGCTGAAGCCGACGGGGAGCTAAGTGACCCTCATCTCCAGCTTCGAGGAACTGGCGCCGGAGGGCATCAACCTCGCTCCAGGGTGCCAGGCATGGATGAAGCTCTTCTGCATGGCGCCGCTGTCCTTCGAGCTCCAGGCGCCCAACCGCTTCGAGGGCACGAGACTCAAGGATCTCATGGCGTTCCTGCGCAAACCGGGGAAGCAGGCCCGTCCGGCAATCCGGGCCGCGTGGAACGCCATGAAGCTGAAACCCGATGACCTGGAGAAGAGATTCCAGAACGGCCACGTGATCGGGCCCTACTTGGACACCGTGGCGCAGTGGATAAACATGCGTGCCCAGCGGGGCGCGGGCGCCCTGAAAAGAGCCGCTGTTCCTCGCGCGGGCAGCCGACAAGTCTGCCCTGGCGATCCATGTCAGGGACGCCGCCAAGATGATGAACTGTGCCAACCCGAAGAAAACCGGCGGCATGCACGGACCCCCCCCGGCGCGCGCGGGTATGCGGACCCGGCTCCTGGAGGCGCTCGACCTGAAGAACGGCCTCGTCAAGGATCCCTCGATGCCGAGGGGCAGATCGCGCGCGTCGTCGTGGACCCTCGGGAGAGGGGCGACGTCGAGAACGCCGAGAGAGACGGGGAGAGCAGGATCTATCTGAAGCGCTTGCCGCTGGGGTTCTGGGCGCACATGGAGTGGTGCGCGAACAAGCCCCTCGTGGACGACCTGAAGCGCCGCGACGACAGCCTCGCGGTGGACCACGCGGGCCCGCTGGTGTTCATCGAGCCCCGCGCGTTGGAGCCGTTCACCTTCCGCAGCTCCAAAGTCACTCGGGCGGGCTCCCCGTCCTCGCGCGGCAGGGCCATCGCCGCGGCGGCGTGCAAGTGGCGCACCATGCGAGCAGGCGAATGGGCGAGGGAACGGCGCCCCCGGGCAGTCTACAGCCGAACCTACTGGGCGCGAGCGGTCCGCAGCCAGACCATGTCTCGGTCCTGTGGACTCTCGCCCTGGGCCGTCGGCTGTCCGGCGCGCTGACCCCTCGGCCGACGTCGCCCAGGCGTGATCCTGGATTGCGGCCGCCACGAGGTCGGGAACGGCAAGAAAAAGGACGATGACTGGCGGCTGGAGCTCCACGCGCTGCTCTCGCGCGCCACGCGCTGCGAGGACTTCCTGCTCATGCGGGCGCCGTGCGTCGAGTTATTCCAGGCGTGGCCGCCGGACGGCTTGCGGAAGCAGCTGGGGCAGTTTGCGGCGCGCGCGAAGCGGCGCAGGAGGGGGGCGACGGCTCTCGCCAGGGAGCTCGGCTTCACCGAGTTCATCCGCGAGGCCTGACCTGAGGAGCGCCCCGCCCGAGCCGCGCCATCCCTAGACTGTCACACGACTTGTTTGGCCTAGCACCGCGGGCGACCCGCGCGCGTCGCTGGGGCCCTCTCGGGGCGACCAGCGCGCGTCGAGGGAACTCCGTGCTGCGTTCTGCCCAGCGCCTCGCTCGCCCGTCGTCGCTCTGCCCGGCGGCCACAGCCGTGCTCGCTATCAGCCAACCAGATAGCCTTCTTTGCTCTGCGCAGCGGACGACCCGCGCGCGTCGCTGGGACCCCATCTATGGCGACATGCGCGCGTCGCGGGGATGCCGCGCTGCGCTGCGCCCGCAGCCTTGAAGTGTGGAGCGCGAGGCAAAGAGGGAAGAAACAAAAGGAAGGAAGCGGGCGCGATCCTCGTGAGAGCATGCCGACATGGGCGTTGCAGCGTGCGGGCGCTGCCGTCGGGGTTCCCGGGGAAGCTCCCTGCGGCGGCCACGCTCAATGTCACGAGTACTCAGAGTCAGGCAGACCCGAACCATTCATATTCGTATGCAGTTACACTAAGCGCATCCATGCTCGCATTCTCGCAAATATACCCACTCGCACGCAGACTCATTCACACTCAGACTCACTCGCGCTCAGACTCACCCGCACTCAATCTCTCATAATTAGACCTATCGTCTTCGTTCGTGTTGTGTGCCCCGCCACAAAATTCGGCACACCCCTCATACGTTTCAGGGATTCGTGGCCCCAGAGGGAGCACCACCGTGGGTCCTTCGCCAGGATACTGTTCCCGTTGTCCTTCGTTTTCTCTTCAGCTCGCCTTTGCTGCAAACCGACATCGAAAGAAACATGGCCCACGCGAAGTCGCCACCACGCCGTTCAGATCAACCCCTGCTGTTTATCGCGATGCGGCAGTCGGACATCTCGGGGCAC